GGTTTTATTTATTTATTTTTTTTTTTTGCTATTTTCAGACCATTTATTGTTATTTACAGCTATTTATGGTTTAAATAGCAAATGTATTTGGGTCAATGTGTGGACTCAAGCATGCTAGACTGAAAAGCAGATGTGTTAAAGCGCATTGTTGGTGCGATATGAGGCAACTGGAATAGGCAGCACCATTGACCGACAAAACGCTGGTCTACAGTCAATAGTGCAGAGTTTTCATTATTTAAACAGCGAGTTAGTACCTATGCGGGTCCTTGCATACACATTGCTTTATTCAGACAGGCATGTAAGGTAATACACAAATATCTTTAAATATGGAAAAGAATTACAGGAATGGGAAATGAGTCTCTGATTTGTTTAATGCATGATATACTCAAAACATGCCCATAACCAACGCAATTAAGCATGGCAATTTTTAACTTTTTGACTTAGTGGCTAATTCGTATGAATTCATACGATCTAATTTGTACAATTTTGTACGATTTACTCATAACCCAATGACGGTTAGGGGTTAGGGGTGGGGTTGGGTGCCATGCCTCCTTTTTGAAATCGTACATTTTCGTGCGACTGAACTCGTATGAATTAGCCACTAAACTGACAAAGCGTAAAATACTTACGTTTCCTCCTGAGATCAGGCTGCCATAACCCATTAAGAGAATAAACACAACCCTTTTAGACCATGCACCAGGGCACAGAGCATTTTTTTCCATCCTTAAAATAGCTAAAGTAGATGTGAAAACATCGCCCTAAGATTGTTAAAATAGAGCCCCTTTGAGTCTAAACAGGACATTTGCAGCACATTTCTGTATTTGCATGTGTTATTGATGTTAAAATGATTAGGATGTTGGTGTTTTTCTATATGGAAGTTTTTACTTGCAGCACATTTGAACTCTTATCACTCACACCTCTCTCACATTTCTTTAGCTTATTCCCTACTTCATCAGGGGTCGCCATAGCAGAATAAACCGCCAATTATGCTGGCAAATATTTTACTAGTGAATGCCTTTCCTGCCACAACCCAGCCCTGATAGTACACCCCTATTACAACTCTCCCGTTCTATCCAATATCTGTTTATTCAATTCACCTATATTGGATGTCTTTGGACTGTGGGGGAAACCAGAGCACACAGAGGAAACCCATGCAGAAATGGGGAGAACATGTAAACTACCCACAGAAAGGCCTCCTGGTCCAGCCGGGACTTGAACTAGAGAACTTCTTGCTGTGAGGCAATCATGCTGCTACCCACTGAGCCACTGTGCCCTTCCTTTATACAGAGCAGTTGTAATTAAAAATAATGGAGCTGAGTAATCAATATGGATAGGAATAATTAACGAGGGGCTGTAGAATGCTTGCAATATTTAATGATTCAACAGACTGAAGTCAGTGGTTCTGCTTATGCTAAATGCGCTGTTCACACATTGTTTTTAAAGACATTTGTCAAGTTCTTACTGCTGCTCTGTTTAGTACTACTTTCTTACACATCTCATCTCATTCCAAAGTGATATGAACCTGCCTGGAACTACTTTAGCTGCATGGGAGAGAACAATTCATCATATGAAATCAAGGCACTCTATGGCACCTTTAATGTTATTTAAACAGATAGGTGTATGCTGAAATGTGTTCTTTTGCATTTGCTGCTGTATTAAGTGATTATTTATAGTACTGAATTAGAAGAAACCCATTGTGTCAGTTATAGGTTTGTAAAACCCTGCCTCTGTTGATGAATTTCGTCTTCGTGTTTGTGTTCATGATTGTATTTATGTTTGTTTAAGTCATGTTTGCCAAGTCTTTTTTTTGTATTGGATCGCATTTCCTTTACATAAACAGGCTTACCTCGGTGGACTTGATGTTATTGATACAATGAAAATGAAAGTTTGCTGTCTTGTAACATTTAAGAGTTACACAAATGATGTAAATTAGACAATAAAAATTTGGGAAAAGAACCATATCATACAAAGGTTGTCCTATATCAAATGTTTTCCTACTTTAATCTTAGCTGCATCATGCTGAAATTTCAGCTCTGCTAACCATACTCTATATATACAGTAACAGTGTATATATGCATCCCAAAGGTGCTCTATAGGATTGAAATCTGGTGACTGTGGAGGCCATTTGAGTACATTGAACTCTTTGTCATGTTCAAAAAACCAGTCCAAAATGATTGGAGTTTTATGACATGGTGTGTTATCCTGCTGGAAGTAGCCATTAGAAGATGGGTAATCTGTGGTCATAAAGAATGGACAATACTCAGGTAGGCTGTGGCATTGACACAATGCTCAGTTGGCACTAATGGGTCCAAAGTGTGCCAAGAAAATATCCCCCACACCATTTCACCACCACCAGCAGCCTGAACCATTGATACAAGGCAGGATGGATCCATGCTTTCATGTTGTTGACGCCAAATTCTCACCCTACCATCCGAATGTCACAGCAGAAATTGAGACTCATCAGACCAGACAACGTTTATCCAATCTTCTATTGTGCAATTTTAGTGAGCCTGTGCCAATTGTATCCTCAGTTTTCTGTTATTAGCTGACAGGAATTGCATCTGGTGTGGTCTGCTGCTGTAGCCCATCAGCCTCAAGGTTCGACATTGTGAGTTCAGAGATGCATACCTCGGTTGTAACCAGTGGTTGTTTGAGTTACTGTTGCCTTTCTATCAGCTTGAACCTGTCTGGCCATTCTTCTCAGACTTCTGTCATCAACAAGGCATTTGCGCCCACAGAACTGCCGCTCACTGGATATTTTCTCTGTTTTGGACCATTCCCTGTAAACCCTGGAGATGGTTGTACGTGAAAATCCCAGTAGATCAGCAGTTTCTGAAATAATCAGATCAGCCTGTCTGGCACCAACAACCATGCCACGTTCAAAGTCACCTAAATCATCTGTTCCCCATTCTGATGCTTGGTTGCAGCAGATTGTCTTGACCATGTCTACATTCCTGAATGTACTGAGTTGCTGCCACGTGATTGGCTGATTAGAAATTTGTGTTAACAAGAAGTTAACAAGCAGCCTAATAAAGTGGCCGGTGAGTGGATGGATGGATGGATGGATGGATGGATGGATGGATGGATGAGCAATGTAGACAGCGAAGGCAAACATACCTAAAATGTACACTTTTTACCTTTTTGTCATCACTATTACATGGTACAACATAATGAAGTCTAACAGAGGAGCAAACAGTTTATAATTATTATATAATAATTTGACTTATTAGTAAGAGGGATGATAAATCTATCTGCAATAACTGTTCATAGCTTTCCATTGTTCATTTTTTGTCTTCAGCAAATCTGACAAGTAGGGTTTTTACATGCCAAAATGAGCACTGGATATCAAAATATGGTTCTAAATCATGAAATTAGCATTTATTTATTTATTTATTTATTTATTTATTTATTCAGACATTCATTCTCCAATTTTAAAATGTTACCTTGGCAGAATTTCCTGCACCAAAGCCAATATTTTGAAGGTGAATTTTATTGAATTATATTGTTAAAGAGCTTTTATTTCTAGCAACCTCTTGGTTTTTACCTGGCAACATGTGCTTTTAAAGGTCATTAACCATGCATGTACTCCGTGAGAGTGTTTTCTTGTGCATGAATAATATTGTATGACTCGTCAGTGAAAATCCTTTTAACTTTAACCTCTTGAGTAGATCAGTCTTTCAGTTTACTGTCTGTTGGCTCTTTTACACTCGTGTGACTGACAGCTGATCTCCCAACTTCTTTGATCCCAGATATCTCATTAAGGATCTAGAGCAGACATCACTACTGTATTATGTTTCTGGTGTGTCGAAGAAGAAATTCAAGGTTTTGGTGAATTTTATACTATTATTTTTTAAGTGCCACAATTATATTAGATTAATTGTATTTCTTGTTTTATAGGATATATCATTTAAGACATTTTATTAGAAAGTTATGTATAAAAACAACATAAAGTTACCATTAGCAAGACTTATTGTGTTTACGTGGTAAGAAATGCATTGAACCTTCTCATATCTCACATTTATTCATGCATGTACTTTTTTTGAAAACATTATTAAACTGTCCTAAAACATGCTAGACATGTTCACTTAAAAGTTACTGGATCTTATAGTGCACACCTAACCCCGCCCTTAAACCTACCTCTTTTAGTGATATAACTAGCTCCATTGAGTGTGTCTGAGATTGCATGTGCATATGCAAGTTTGCCGTCAGATACTCTTGGGCTTTGTAGGTCTGTTATTCAGTTTTAATACACTGTAACTAAACATGGTGCCTGACTTGGTATGTTCCATAAAGTGAAATATTGTTGGGACTTCATTAATTCATTTTACTGAAGTAAAATCTAAAGTATACTACAGTATTTATTACAGTTTATCCCTTCAGTAGACCTAATACTCCAGGATGCTGTAGCATTCATAAGCAGTTTTTTGTAAACAGTATCACTACAAACTTGACTTACACTTTACAGTAGCAATCTGTTTGTTATTTAATATTTAATAACTTTTAAAAGTTGTGATGTTTTTTTATGTAACTACTAACTAATCCAGTTTATTTATATTCTATTTCTTACACATAATATTCTTTAACATATACCAAAGAGAACATATAGCAAAATGTTACCTATTTTACTCATTGGTTTTCGGTGTAATAATCAGAACCTATACAGAAATGCACAGAAAATGTATTTAATACTTATTAAATGCTATTTGAAAATGTAAACCAATACTAATCTGTACTGTTTAACAGGGTATCCAATATTACATCACTCAAGTTCATTTGCAGATCCACAGATACAAATTCTGTTCAATTAAGTTGAATATTGAAATTGAAATACTTTGCAAAAGCTGTTTATTATAAAGCAGGCACAAAGTTAATTTGATACAAAGTAATTAAACAAAGTAATTTGAATCAAATTAGCAGCTGTTTATTCGCATCCAGGGTCATAACATGGACTTTATACTTTTGGAATTCTTGTAGGCAAATCAGCACGCAGCAGTTCACTTACAGCTCATAGTCAACAACAAACCTGTGAGACACGCGCGCGTGCACACAGACTCGCTGACGGGTACCGGAGTAATATCAACGCCTACCTTCCCTTGGCGTGTGCCCGCGGAAGAGCAGTTACCTGGTTACAGGGGAGTGATGGAGTACTGAGCAATGTAATGTTCAGGACTCCACAGATATGAGTTTCTCTCGCGCTCGCCGAGTCAAGCAACCACGCGCTCATCCTGCAGCATCTCCGGTGCGCGCGACCGCAGCTCGTCCAGGAAAAACGCTGTAACGTCTTAATTAAGTTGCAAATACCTCTACACGGAATCTCCAGCTTGTCATATTCCCAACTGTAAGGACCAAGTTTGCTGGAAATTACTGGTTTAAGGTAAGAAACTTTGCCGAGCGTATTTTCTTACATTGTGACCACAGCAGATTGTTACTGTTGTAGCCTAGTTATTTTCTTTTCGGTCAGTGTTTGAAGAGTTATGGAAATAAATTATGTTTAAAATTGTTTCAAGTAATACCTTATGATCAATATTAAGAAGCTTTAATACTGTACATAAGTATTGTGTGACGACAGATTCGTGGCTGATATTCGTGACTGCAGTAAACACACGGATGTTTCTCAGTAAAGAGGGCTGTTAGAAGGCAGGTGAAGCGCAGGTGCTATTTACACTCATTACTTAGTGTTATTAGAGCGTTAATGTTACTTAGTAACACCTTAGTAAAGTATTCAATCCATATTGTAGCAGCCTTCTTGTCGAGTATTGACTATGTAAATATACTTTGCAAATAGACTACTTAGCCTACTTTTAACGTGCGTTAATTTAAGTGCTGTTCATTGATCCTACGTGGAGAGATGATAATCCTTAACTCAGTTTTGCATACTTTTTTACGAATATGATAAATTACTGTCCATTTAGAATCACTTCACATTCATTGTTTATTATTAACCATTTAAAAAATATATGATTATATTTAATATAAAGTTTAAAACCTCCCACGTCTATAATTAAATTGATCATGTATATATTTTCCCCAACAAATGATACTTTTTTATGTTCTGTTTATGCTTAATTAAATTTCTATAAAGCATTTAAAATGCCAGTTATGTCCCAAACATAGTTTAGACCCGTTGTTTCTTTGAACTTGTGGGTTTCTGAAGCCCTCAGTGTATTGAATCACTTTGCTCTTTTAAGACTAATATTTGGTTTAAATGAGCTAGCTTTTGCTATTTGATTATTATTTTTATAAGTCTCTTGTAAATAATCAAGTTCTTTGGATTTACTGCATTTATTAGATATGAATTTGAGTAAGATGTTTTATTTATTTGTTTATTTATTTATTTATTTATTTATTTGCTTCACAAAGGTCTGATAAGCTTCATTTGAAAATGAAAATACAAATATGGTCATTTAAAACATAGTCTTTTGAACAAATGTTTTCGGTTGCTGTGATTTGAAAATCAGGATAATTTAACTAAATACTGGTTTCTTAAATCTCTTAAAAAAATGATGCTGTTAAACAGAGAGACTTTCTCAACACTTTATTTAAACATAATAGCTTTAATAACTCGTTTCTAATAACTTGTTTTATTTTATCTTTGCCATGATGACAGTAAATAATATTTTACTAGATATTTTTTCAAGACACTTCTATACAGCTTAAAGTGACATTTAAACGCATAACTAGGTTAATTAGGTTAACTAGGCAGGTTACAGTAATTAGGCAATACTGTATAACGATGTTTTTTTTCTGTAGACCATTGAAAAATATATAGCTTAAAGGGGCTAATAATGTTAACCTTAAAATGGGTTTTAAAAATTTAAAAACTGCTTTTATTTTAGCAGAAATAAACAAATAAGAATTTCTTCAGAAGAAACAATATTATCAGACATACTGTGAAAATTCCCTTGATCTGTTAAACATCATTTGGGAAATATTTAAAAAGATTTTTAAAAAAATGAAAGGGGGGCTAATAATTCAGATTTATTATGATTCTATATGTTTTTATATTTCTGCATTTTTCTGTTAATGAATTGAATGAATATTAATCACCCCATGCAGTAGAAACAACAATACTATTTTTATAACAATATTTGTTGTACGTCTACCATAATACATGTTTGTGGAATCATATCTATAAATTTGTACAATTTTGTCCATAAATCCTCAATATGTGCATCCTGCACCAATGCACTACTTGTTCTAACACCATAACAGAATCCCTAACTCAAAAGCCCACTGAGTGTCAGTAGATCACACCCTGTTCTTGCAGAAAATTGAACTCATGACTATGAGAAGAGCCAATGCTGTCCAATGAGAAATAGAAGCCTGCCAAGGAAGCAGCCAAACTGGCCAGTGAGCCAAGAGACCCGGCCTGTTCGATTCTCAAGCGAGACGTGTCAATTTGACAGCCTACATGGTGTAACTGCTGAACTGGCTCCAGTTATATGACGCCATTTGGCAACATCTAGTCCAGTTTCTTCCACTGACTAATAATTCCAACAGATTCTTACTGGTGGTGATTAAATATATGTGGCATAAGTCTTCTGTCCTGTTAGTTAATTATGGATAAAGATTAGAGGTTGTGGCTGTGTCTGACCTCAATATATGTTGCATGTCTTCACCGTGAATTAAACAGAAAGACAGAATAAGAGTGGGAGGGCAGCGGTCACAAATATGTGCCCCCCTCCACTGTCTAATTAACAGCTCCTCACTTGTCCTGTTCCCCGACAGCCCTGACAGCCTGTCTCTTTACATCAAACCCAAATGCTTTCTGAATATACCTGTTCCGAACACACCAAGTTCAAGTTCTGGACATATTTCCAAATAATACCAGCAGGTTTTCAGATTCCTGCATCGTTGCATGTTTGCATGTGATGCAATTCATATTGTGAACATCTGTGTCATCACACCCGCTGTGTCTGTTGACTCTCACAAACATGTCTAACTACATCAGGCGTGTTATTTTTTATGATGTTTTATTTTTACCCGCAGAGCATGTCAGCACCTCTGTCAGCAGCCTTTCGACTTTCCTCAGTGAAAGTGTGAGCGTGCGAGTAACAGTAGGGCCGCATGCCTCTCTCTCCATCCCAACACTGCTCCAACTGTTCCACCCACATGCTGCACACACTTTACCATCGATCATATAGTAACTTAGTGTGACACTAAACCTCCAGCGCTAATTTTTATGCTGGCTGAGATGTTTTTTTGAAGACGTTGCTTTTAGAGTAAATCAATTATACTTCAAAAATAATGGGTCAAAAGCATTAACACCGTTATGAGACTCCCTGACCCATAATGAGGGCCAATTATAACATGCATTCGAAAATGCGACATGCCCCAAATATGATCAGTTTATATTAAGTATAGATTAAAAATATGTTGCCAACAGATTTCTCTGTGGATTTTTACAAAATATAAAAGCTCAGCAGTTTAACATTTGCAAGCAAAGAGAAAAGAACTATAAATGTTAGTTTATTATTAATGTTTGTCATAAAAATAAATTGAACTATGAATATTTGTGTTTGTTGGTTGTTATATTATTATTGTTAGTAGTAGTGGTAGTAGTAGAGCAATTTCAGTGTCATGCATGTGACATTTGAGGTAAAATCTGAAAACATAAATTCACAGAGAAAGTATATATGTTAACATTATATTGAAACATCTGTTTATATTTTCCAAAACTACTCACTGCAGTGATGTGGGATCAGAAAACTTTTTTTTTTCTCATGGCAAGGTTGACATTTGCATGGAATTGCTCAGTAGTAGTAGTGGTAGTAGTAAGGGCTGGGCAATTTGACCTAAAATCAAAATCTCAATTAACTGAAAAATTTAACTCTATTACAATTAATGAATGAATATTTTATTTTTTATTTTATTTTGTATTTCATAGTTCGCTGACAGGTTTTGTACAGTAAATATGTTTATATATTACAAGTCGTTGGATGGGGGTGTTTCACTAACGAAACTGAAGATCGGGTGGGTGGGTGTTTTTTTCCGGGCTGGGGGGGGTTGGGGGATGGTTGCTTAGTGGGCCCTTGACAATGTCTCTGGGGGGCCCCAAAATGTGTGGGCCCTTACAATCATTGTAATTTCTTACTTTTTGATTAATCAATCGAATTAATTACTTTTCGATTAATCAACCAACCCTAGTATTAGTACCAGCAGTAGTAGTAGTAGTACCACTACTACTAGTACTACTACTGGCGCTGTAATTATGGATTTAAACTGACACAATTACTGTGTGTAAGTGACTGGCTTATGTTAATTCATATGGAAATCAATTCACTTTTTGACACATATAATTTTATAAAAATACCAATTATAATAATACTGTAGTGATACTTTTCTTTTTCTCATTAAAATTTGAACAATATCCATTTGGATAATTGCTTCAGTGGTGTATATTGTACAGTTCAAACAGCTGCTGTTATATATGATGAGTTTCTTTCTTTTCATCTGTCCTTCAGCCTCTTTTTTTTCCTCTAGCTGCCTCATATGCAACCTCAGTCAGTTCATTCTGACAGTGGGCAAAGTTCATCGTTCCTTTTGAATCTTGAGAGGCTGATTAAATGCAGGGCTGCTATTTAAAGACTTGCTTATTCTAAAAGAGTGGGAAATAACGTCAAAGGCTTCCGCTTTTGACGTTGAATGAATACAACTGTGCCCAGGTGATTGAATGCCTTTCTAAGTCTTCAAGGCAAAGCTTGAATGTAGGTTGAGAATGTTTCAAACAAATCCAAGATGTCTGATGTTATCAAGGGGGAAACTAAGCGGATCAGCTTAGGAAGCGTGTGGATTTGATCTGGTGATATAGAGAGATTTTTCTTTGAGAAGGTCCCTTGCTGTGTGACTTCTGCAGTCTTTAGTGTTTTAGGTCTGCAGCATTTTAGGGGTGATAAGTGTGTTGTTTGGTGTTGCTACTGAGTGCTGAATGGAAACGAGAAATCTTTGAGAGATCAAAGGTCCCTTCATTTAGAAACAGTCTGACAGGCGTGAACGGCGAATGTGTGGCCCATAAGTCCTATCACATTTTACAAGCGCTGGTCCTAAACCAGCTTGTGGGGAGTGACAGAAACCCTCTTAGGAAGTCTAATAATCAATAAATCAGGCTTTGGTGTATAAATAAAACATAAGAATAGCAATAAATTATATGGTAGCAGATATTTTCAAACTCTTGCAAACACAGACTCTCCAAGTATCATCTAGAAACACTATCGTTTTTCTGAGTTAACCCTTCACATGTAAGTTTTGAATACTCAGAATTTTAATTATTGTGACTTATTTTAAATCTAGACATTTATTTTCCATGATCATGCATCAAATCTGTCATGTAGCGTTTAAAAGTTATACAGTATGCGGTTAATTAAACAGTGAATT